CTTTTTTTCTTCTTTTTGTTTCTCTTGTTTTTCTTTCTTTCAAATAGAGAAGAAAAGTTGTTAAGCTTCAAAACATTTTCAGATAAAAGTATGATGGTAAAACTATGAAACCTATCTATTCGCGATGTAGAATATTTCCAATCACTTCATAGTATTCTGAAGAAGTTGTATAATTATTATTCCACTGAACTTCATGATTTTTATGTGACTTTTTAAAAATTGTCTCTAAAGCCTTAATGTTTAAATTTTCAGTGACTGTCTATTAAAACATTAGGGTTTTTGAGCTTTTTCAGAAAATTTTGAGACTTTGTTATTGAAATCTTTGTTTCTGCACGTTGACCTTCAAGCAGTAGATCATCATGTAGTGGCGTTTTCTGAATGAAAATTGCACATCGGAATCAGAATCGACACAATAAGACAGGTTTGGAGATCGCGCACATTTCTTTTCAGCCTTCAATTTCCGAGGCAGGCCAAAATACATTCTCCTTGCAGCGATCTCTGTATTCAAGGACGTGTATTCTGTTATTCACGATTCTTGCTCGCCTTAAATCATACGCGTATGAAACCACACACGAAAATATTGATGATCACCTTTTTAAGTCTCCGTGCCTATAACTTTGTAGTACTCGTCAGAATTACTGTGGGGGAGCAGTATGCTTCTTCAGGGTATAAATGCCATATACTACTGCATCTTAACATTTAACATATTTTTTCTAGCTATATATGTTATTTTGGGCCAATAATCGGCACATGCAATGAAATTTAAGTTAAGAAACAAATCATTTGGAATCAAGGAAATGCTACAGGAGGAATATCTTAGCGGAAAATGTTTAGACTGGAGAGTTTATTTGCAATCGAGACTTAAATAATTAGAAACATGTGGCATGGGTCGTTCTTGACTTGGATTTTTTTAGGGAGTAGAAACTTGGACCTAGAATAAAGATAGTCATCGTTTTTTAAAGTAAACTTAATAGAGTAATAGGTCGTTCCTTCACATTCTGTTTAAACTCAAGAGTTACTTTGTACACCCCGTGCGCGGACAGAAGCAATTAAATCCTCTTGCCAGCGGATGTGGTCCTCTGGATAGAAAGTATCGACTCGAAGAACATTTCTGGTCAAAATTTGAACTTTAGTTTAGCTAACGGAAGTCTTCAGTGCACAACACAAATTTCTTATGAAAAAATGTAAGAAATTAAAAAAATGAACCTATTTATGGTTTATTTTGAGCTAACGATTCCAATCGCACTCGTGCATCCTAAATGACACTCGGATGTGGATTTAAAACTTTAAAATGGACCTTTCTCGTTCCCGGGAATTTCCGGCTAAAATCTGGAGAAGAATTCCTGGAGAACTTTGAATGAAAAACAAACACACACACACAATCACGGCAGTCACCTACACTGAGAAAAAAAGGTACGGGCTGTAGGTAAGGGCATACCGTCCGTTCCCGGCCCAGAGGCCGAAAGTTCCGGGTGCTGGAGCCGTAGGTTCGATTACTCCCGGTGCTAACCCTAGAACTTCCGGCCCCTGAGCCCGGAACGCGGACGGTACGTCTACATAGCCCGTAAGTACGGCTTCCACGGCCGGAGTTTTTTTTAGTGTACAATTCAACTAGCCCACGGGTCCTTTCCTGGCGATTTCCGGGACTTTTTGAGCGCTTCCTAGGAACTTTCCGAATTATTCTTGGAAAATTTCCTGGTATCTCCTGGAAACTATCCCATTCCCAGCACATAACTTTCCCAGGAAGATCCAGGAAATTCGTAGTTACTCAGACCCAGCATCCCGGGAAGGGCAGAAATGGAGGATTTGTCGCTAGCCGAGGCAACACAGCGAGGGCAGCTAAACCTGAGTGAACTAAATCACACCCGTTTTCTCGCTCGCCGTTGAAAGCTTTCTCAATTGTGTTAACTTGTAGTTTTCTCCTTTGCCTCCACAGCCACACTCTAACTTTGCACTATTCATTATTCCGCCTCCTCACAATGCTTTTATTCATCCGTCCATTGTCCCACTTCTCTTCTCTTTATCTCCTTCCATCTAATGCTCGTGTGCCCTTTCTCCCTCGGTCTTTGATTTCCTCGCAATCCGATTGGCAGCCGTCCCTTTCGCCCGCGGTATCGCTGGTGGTCACCAGGTTTGTCCCGCTCTCACTCCATCCGTCACAGTTTTGGTCGGATAGCTCGATTGAAATCATTTCAGGCTTTAAAAAGTTGCTGACACAGTTGAGAAGCGAGTCTTGCATCAATGGAGATGTTGCATGTGGAAGGAATTTGCGATTTGACTATTGATTCTTATGTAAATGTTCGCGAGAAACACGATGGTGCCACTGGTTTTCTCTGAAATCAACTCTCAAGCTCAAAAAAGCTCTCAAGTTGAGGCCAAAATAGAGGGGGTATCCCACGCTATCCTGAGAGTCCACCTCTACATCAAAACAAACTCTCCATGCAAAGATAGGGAGCAAATACATTAGCAGGGTTGCCGTGTTTTCAGTTTTAGAGTCCCTAAATAAAGTGGCAGCCCTGTCAATGTATTTGCTCCCTATCTTTGCATGGAGGGTTTGTCTTGATGTAGAGGTGGACTCTCAGGATAGCGTGGGATATCCCCTCCATTTTGGCCTCAACTTGAGAGCTTTTTTTGAGCTTGGGAGTTGATTTCAAAGAAAACCAGTGGCATCATCGTATTTCTCGCGAACTTTTACATAAGAATCAACAGTCAAATCGCAAATTCCTTACACATGCAATATCTTTATTGAGGCAGTTTTTAGTAAAAGGGCGTATGAGATGTCCAATGCTGCTAATATTGTGCATCGAAGCTCTCTAGTTGTAAGTAATAAGGTGGAGAAATGCTGCTGGGTCCACACCATTTCGCAGGGGAAACAAGGCCAAGAAGTCCCAAAAATTATACGAGTAATTAGAGTCAAAATTAAATTTTTTGAACTCTATACAGTTTCGGGCTACTTCTTAGTGTTTTATTTTTTCAGTTGTAAGTAACTTAACCGAAAATTCCGCTAAGAATTTCTCCCTGAATCTGCTTCAAGTTATTCCTCACTTTTTTAAGGAAGTAAATTGACTGTGAATGAATTTCATCTGCCGCAAACGCTAAAAAAATTGCACGATCTTAGCAGCATTGTAAACCTAATACGCCCTTTTCTCGAAAAATGCCGCACTTATACTTTTTTCAATAGAATTTTCAGGACACTGGAGTACCTCTATCAGAAGAGTATGGACTTGTCATTTGTTGAGGATCCTGAAGTGCAGCAAACCCAACTTACATAAAGTTAATCCCTCAACGTTGCTTGAATACCCCTTAAGTCTTGTTAATTCTGATTTGTGGCAACGTTAATGGAGCATCTGCACTTAAGAGACAAAAAGCAGTATCGGCAGGGGATATGTATCAATATTGTACGGTAGGTTTGCAATAAAATACAGTGTTAAAGAGGGTTATTTTTAGCTTTAAAGTTAATATGCACTTTCACGATTTTTTTTTTTTTTTTTTTTTTTTTTTTTTTTTTTTTTTTTTTTTTTTTTTTTTTTTTTTNTTTTTTTTTTTTTTTTTTTATGTATATAAATGTTGGTTGGTCATTTAACGAACCAACAGAACTCATTTTTGGTAGTGTATGGTATCACTTTAAGAATAATTATTTTCAAGAGTTCCTCAGCTTTAAAATTTTTATTTTAAAATCTTTTTACTCGAATATCACGCAACTCGTCTCACGAAGGGACTATGTGAACGCTCTCTAGCGTATTCGTGTTGGAGACGTCCATGCTCGTTTAAACAAATACAGTATAATGTTATCCTATGTGATGTACCTAAAATAATTATTTTGAAATTGTGAATGTCATATTATTAAAGTAGTTCTTTTTTAATTTTCTCTAATACCTAAATTTCTGCCAGAAAAATGTTAGATTCAAATTTTTGAGAGATTTTATTTCCAGCATAGGCAAATATGACCTTCAATTGCCGGTTGTTTTCCGGAAATGTATGAGTTTTGATGATGTCATTTCTGGAGGAAAAAGCAAAAATGAAAAAACCATATTTGGTTGTTGTTTGTGAATTCAGTGCTCGGTGTTCATTGGATCCCCCATTTTTTTCACTCTTTTTAATTATTGATGTATCATTGATTTGAACGCTAAAAAGTCAGGTTCTAACTGAATTTAGGATAGGCCTTTTATTTATTTTTTTTTTATATGTTTTTTCAGATTTTGAGTTTGATATTCCAAGGGATATTATATCAGGCTGAAAAAGGGGCTCTAGAGTGAAAATCACTACGGATTTTAATCAAGAAGTTCTAGGTGTGCAGAATTTAGCTATCAGGAGACATTTCCAAGAGCAGCCTTCTGTTTAGTAGGCGGATTTTTTCCTAAATTTTGTCACATGAAGGCTGAGTTTCTGGTGATTTCATTCAGGAGTTGATATCGGCAATCCCCATTGTGTGAATAATTTTCTACATAAGATTTTGGGCGAGAAACATCACAAAGAAAGAAACTTCCTGCATGGGACCCGAAGTTGAGGTCTTATGGGTCTCTGAAGTATTCTGATCACGCATCCGAAAACTTGAGGTCAAGCTGCCGAAGTTCGGGTCAGACATCGAGGCACTTCGCTATGTACAGGAGTGCTTCAGATAAGTGACCCAAACCCTTCGATATATATCGAAGTACTTCAGATGTCTGACCCGAACTTCGGCAGCTGGACCTCAAGTTTTTAGATACGTGATCCGAAAACTTCAGAGATCCATATGACCTTAAATTCGGGTCCCACGCACGAAGTTTTTTTCTCCGTTTGTGACGCTTTTCTCTAGTTCTTGTTTAATGACCCGAGACATACCCGGAAGGGTAACATAAAAGAATAGCCGATTTCAATCACTTTCTTACCATTGTATACCTTTATTCCTGTTTTGTGTACAGAGGTATCGACCTACTAGAATGCATGACCAATAAATTGCATTTACTCACTAATTGCACGATCGATCCACTACTTGCAAATATACTACGCAACGGAAAAACTCAATACTGATCAAGATGATCTTCACAATTCTCATTTGGATCTGGGTGTGGACAACACTTGGGCTTCCTTGCACAAAATCGTTTCTTCCTTTCTTCGTAACTGGGACTACCGGGACCGTATCCACCTCCTGCACCGGGACCGTGTCCTCCACCTGCACCGCCTTTTCCACCTCCACCGCCTTTTCCGTCTTTGCCGCCTCCTTCCTTTGGTTTGCGTCCGCCGCCATTTTTGTTTTTCCCACGCTTGCGTTTCCCAGGATCCGGATCTCTCCTCTCGATGAGATTACGTCCAAACAACCAAAGGTTCTCATCATCGAAGTCGACATCCGTCACCGAACTCGAGGACACCGGGCTCCACACCACGCAAAGAATGATCAGCAGTAATATCGACACACTAATTCCCCACATCGATACGATAAAAACACCGAATTAGATATAAAATTCAAAAAGAAATCGATTGCTCTTTCAAAAAAAAAACTAGGGTTCATCCGGCATCGCGACGCGTCGCTGCTTCACTAAAATAAAAATGTAACCGTGATACCTCGACGCGTGCTCAAACAGTGACAAGTGTTTGATTCGGTCACCGTAATTTCCCCGCCATCCACAGTTTTTTTCCCTTGTCACAGCTGGCACACGGCTGTAAATTAGTTATCTATACCCATCCTTAAAAAAACTATGTACCTCTAGGATCGCAAACCAAGGCTCGGCCCCCGCAATGTTTTGAAACGCATATTAATGGACCGCGTTTAACAGAAAGAAACCAAGCCACACCAGATACTACCAAATTTAACTGAACAATTTAATTTTTTACAAGAGAACATTTGTGCGGACTCCTTTGAAAATGTTTAAAGAATTTGCTTCGTACTATGGAGACAATTCACTGAAATTTGCACGAAAATCCGCACAACCGTTTTCATGTGAAAAAATTGATTGCCCGATTGAATTTGGCAATAGCTGATGCAGCTTGGTTTCTTTCTGTTTAACACGACCCAGGTTTACTTGCACTGAAAAGAAAGCGCTGATTCTGAATATTGTTTCGACGGGCCATACTACAAAGACAATTTTGGTTTTATGAAGTTGATCCCTGTGTTCTATTTCGGCCGCTTTTTGCGTTTCGTAACCGTACTTACAGTTTCAGCTGATATCCGTATACTCTGATCATGGAACCGCATGTTCTCTCTACTTTCAGTTCGGCTCATGCTTCAGAAGTATTATTACATATTATGTTCGTTCTCAAATTTGATTGTGCGAACCGAAATACAGTCATATGAACTGAGAGGCACAATTACGTTAACCGAGTAGCCGATATAAAACAATGTTTGTTGACACACAGGCGCTTTATGATTCCCCTCCTTTATCTTCTATGTCTAACTTCCTTAGAAGCCATAGTCGGTTCGACTTTTACACGTAAGCACCCTTTATAGAGCTCTTGAGAGACCTTCAGACTTAGAGGGTTATTCAAAAGTCACGTATCACTGGTCATGAGGGGGGTGGCCATTTGAAATTTTTGAGTTGCCCCCCGTCCCCCTCCCCCGGGGGAATCAAAAACTGGAAAGTACCTAAAACAATTTCCCCACTCGATATGACGAAAAACGTCTTAAACCGCAAATCGATATCATATTAGAATTAAAGTTATGGCCAGTGGTGCGTGACTTTTGAATAACCCTGTATTTCTTCCTTTTAAAAATGACTATTGATTTGAACATACCATAGCACATTTCGAGCTGAACCCTAACTTATCTCAAATTTCAAAAATAAGAAATATCTAAACGCGACAAAACTATTTGCGCAAGATGGATATCCATATTGCATATATAAGTCGGGAATAACATAACTCTTTTGCGGTGTCTGAAAATCTCTGCTTCTATGTTATTTTTTTTAAATAAGAACAAATTGACATAATTTATTGACGTTTTTGCAGAATTTTCTTTGCATAGATAAGAAAAATTACGGCAGTTTTAAAGAATTGCCGTTGAAAGGTTTTTCCGAAGAAATAAAGTATGACAGGAAGTCTGGGACGTCGCAAACTGAGTTATGTGATTGCCGACTCACACCGTCGATATGAAAAATTTAAGGCGCGATGGCGTGAGTCGTGAGTTCGCAATGCTCTGCTCTATGCTATTAATGAATTTGGGAGAAAAGTTAAAAAACGAGACCCAAATACGTCTCTCCTATCATCAGCTGTGTTACTCACATAGTGTTTGAAGCACCACTACGAAGAAGGCAAACGGAAACAAACACGTCGCGTTTACGACGGCGCAGAGATACTACTATTCGTACTTGATCGACGTCCGTGCGGCATCTGAAAAATTGAAGGCGCGATGACGCGGAGCGTGAATTCTCAATGCTCCGCTGTACACTGTCAATGAGGTGTCACTCAGAGTCGGGAGAAAAGTTAAAAAACGAGATCCGAATACGTCTCTCCTATGTTCAGCAGTGTTATTCACGTAGTGCTTGAAGCACCACTAGGAAGAAGACAAACGGAAACTAACGCAATGTGGAAGTAGAGCGAGAGAAAAGATGCGCTTATACGACGGCGCAGAGATACAACTATTCGTACTTGATGGACGTCCGTGCTGCATCTGAAAAATTGAAGGCGCGTTACAGATCATTTTGAATATATTGCGAACAACATTGTCTGGAATTTTCAAAGAAAAAGATTTGCAAAATTTCCAGAAAATTCGTTTTTTATGAAAGGAAATATATCACAACTTCTGGAGCCTCATATTATGGCATGAGTCCCTAGCACGACAAAATAGACCCGGCTTAAAAAAATCCTGAAAATCTTGTGGGTTCCTATTCCTATAACTTGGCCCGGCTTAGACCATTCCCGGTACCTACTTGTTCTACTGGATCTTAATATTCTCTGGAAATCTAAAAGCTCATTAAGAGCTTTGACAACTCAAGGAAAAGGTGTATACGAAATACTAGCTTGTTCAAAACAGATTGAAAAGCAATGATTACAATTCATGAAAGTTGACAACATAGTTTTTCTTTCAATCAAACCCATCGCCAATGATTCACACGCGGTGGGAAAGTACTCTTCGATGAATATCGATTAATTTTCATGCTGCAGGGCAAAATCTAGAGTTAGGCTTCCAGTGCGCCACAACCGTCATTAGATTGACAGTGCGCTTCCTGATTCAACGTGTGTCATAGTCCTTTGGCTGTTGATGAAGAGACAAGAGTTGGCTTCATTTTATCAACTTCATCCAAATGTTCACAATGGTAACCCTCAGATTAGGACTTTAAAAAAAAATTGAGGTCAAATATTAAATCATTCGGAAAATGAGGGGGATCGAACCGATGAAGTTTTCCACAGAGATCAAAGAGGATTGGAAGACGAAGTTGAAGAAAATCTACACTCTCACCTCTAACTATTTTGCCGTGCAAAGGAAAAAAACCGTATGAGCATTCGAATGTTGTCTTATTCATCCTGAAAAAAAAAAACCAAATTTATTTCGGAGAAATGTTTTGCATAGTTTTCCTTGAAATTTTCACATATTTTAAAATGAATTGCAAACAAAATTATCTGAAATATTGGTAGAAAAATATTTACAACTTTCTCAATAAAGTTATATTTTATCAAAGAAAATTTGGCAACGCATGAAGGTTCATACGGCGTTTTTCCTTAGCACAGCAGTGTTCCCAAGATATAATGGATTCAGAGAGAGTTCAGATGGGAGGGTGGTTCCATTGGGGGTTTTATGGTCAAGGAGGCATTTTGGCATCCCCTTTACCAGAAGAGGTTCGGAATCCTTTGAAATTGTTTAAAAAATGTATCCCTCCCCGAACGAGTTATAAGCAGCATTAGCTCAAAATTTGTATATAATATTTTATTTATTTTTTTTATTTTATTGACGAACCTAGTGTTTACTCTTGTGAGTTTTGCAAATGAGTGAACCTCACTCACGAGTCAGTTTATGAGAAACTATGCAAAAAGAAATACCTCAGAGGAAAATTTTAATTGGAAACGCTGTTGATAATTTAGGAGTATAGTCAGGAGTGTACCTCTTTCCGGGGCCTTGCCCGACCCGAAGTGGAATAAAACTCTTCTGTTGGAGTTAGTCCCACTCGCACGGAGCGTATTTCACTCCTTGTTCATAAAGGTTTTGGGCTGAAAAGGGGTTCCGGAGTGAAAAGCACCACGGATTTTAATCAAGAAGTTCTAGGTGTGTAGAATTTAGCTATCAGGAGACGGTTTCCAACAACAGCCTACTCCTAAATTTTGTCGCATGAAGGCTGAGTTTCTGGTGATTTCATTCAGGAGTTGATATCGGCAATTCCCATTGTGTGAATAATTTTCTATACATAAGATTTTGAGCAGGAGACATCACGGAGAAAAAAACTTCGTGCATGGGACCCGAAGTTGAGGTCATCTCGATCTCTGAAGTTTTCTGATCACGCATCCGAAAACTTGAAGTCGAGCTGCCGAAGTTCGGGTCAGACATCGAGGCACTTCGCTATGTACCGGAGTACTTCAGATAAGTGACCCGAACTCTTCGGTATACATCGAAGTACTTCAAATGTCTGACCCGAACTTCGGCAGCTGGACCTCAAGTTTTTAGATACGTGATCCTAAAACTTCAGAGATCCATATGACCTCAATTTCGAGTCCCACGCACGAAGTTTTTTTCTCCGTGTGTGACGCTTTTCTCTAGTTCTTGTTTAATGACTCGAGACATACCCGGAAGGGCAATATAAAAAAAGAGCCGATTTTAATTAATTTCTTACCAGTGTATACCTTTATTCCTGTTTTATGTACAGAGGTATCGACCCACTAGAATGCATGACCAATAAATTGCACTTACTCACTAATTGCACGATCGATGCACTACTCGCGAATATACTAGAGTCCCTTTATACTGAGAGTCAAGAATGCGAATCCATTTCTGATTGGTTAACCGGATTTCAGGCCTTCACAGTGTCACAAACGGGAATAAAGATTACATTTTCACCAATTGCAAAGATTATAATCCGGAATGGACCAAGGAATTTCGGGTTCGACAAGGAACAAACGGAATGAGAGGAGGAACGGAGAAAGGAATTTAAGAATGAGCCGATCAAAGAGTACGAAAAACGTTCAATTTGTGTAATCTTTATTCCCGTTTGTGACTCCATGAGGGGTGTTGTCTTGACTCTCAGTATAAAGGGACTCTAGAATATACTACGCAACGGGAAAACTCAATACTGCTCAAGATTATCTTCACAATTCTCCTTTGGATCTGGGTGTGGACAACACTTGGGCTTCCTCGCACAAAATCGTTTCTTCCTTTCTTCGTAACTGGGACTACCGGGACCGTAATTTCCACCTCCTGCACCGGGACCGTGTCCTCCCCCTCCCCCGTGTCCTTCCCCTCCCCCGTGTCCTTCCCCTCCCCCGTGTCCTCCCCCTCCCCCGTGTCCGC